TATATATATATATATATATATATATTATTATTATTATTATTATTATTATTATTATTATTATTATTATTATTATTATTATTATCTTGTATCCTTTTTATTTTAAGAAAAAATCCATTACAAGGATGCAAAAAGCAGTCAATACTCCTAATTGGAGCCCTTAAGTATATATATACTTTTTATTTTTATTTTTATTTTTAACAGGTTATTCAGTAGCTTATGGTAACTTCTTTTCATCAAATGTAAAAGGTATACAATTTCAATTGATATATTTTTTTTGAACATGTCTTTTTCACTCTTTGCGCACACACTTGCATAGTATCGTGATTTAAAAGAGTAGGGTTTAAAATTGTACTAACAGCTTAACAATCGTACTAAAAGTTAGTTATAAATTTAAACTAAAGGTGTTTAATGATTTTGTATTGTTGTCACAAATATGTAAAGCATATTTATCAAAGCCTTCACATTTGATTATTGGATTTCTTGCAGGTCCATATTCTTTACAATATAATCAATTTATCAAAAACTTGTTCACTATATATATTAAGCTTAAAAATTTTAGAGTTTGGATTATAGGGTGGCATTTTTCTAGTGCTCGCAGCCAAAAGTATATCCAGTTATTAAGGTGTCACTAGTTCTAATATTATTTGTCTAGAAATCAAATTACTTCATGAGGATTTCTTTTATATTTGCACAGCGCAATTTGTTTGCATTAATATGAAGCAAAGATGGCGGAATGACAGACTAACAGCTATGCAGTTTAAATGCATATCAAAATGTTTTAGTATTCATTTCATGAGTACTAAAACATTTTTAAACAAGAGTTATAAAAAATTCTCTGCTGCAGTTAGCATTGACTCATTTCACAATATAGTATATGAGAACCAAATCTCTACAAATAAGTAATTGATTTATCAAACAATACATTATTAAACATCTGCATTATTAAAAAAAAAATAATTACAACCTTATGCAAACATTTTAAGTGGTTCAGTTTAATTGTCAGTTAAAAAGGTTTTGGAATCAATTGCAAATTATTTGATAAAGAAAGTTCTAATTTGCCAAAAAGTTTCAAATTCTTTTAGGTGTTACACCCCATGAAAGTAATTTATTTAACATTTTTTCTTTTTTACAAAACTTGCTTAACAAAACGAAAATTATTTTTATAGTAAACTAACAAAACGGAAACTGTTTTTATAGTAAACTAAAAAAGTATTTTACATCAAACTTTTAAAGTAATAAAAAATACAATTTTAAATTTTTTTATGATAAAAATGTTGATCATGTCTTTCATGTTGTTTAATTAATTTAAAAGGTTTAATTTTTTATGCAAATGCCTTATTTAAAGTTATTTGTGTAAAACTATAAGTTATTATTATCAAGTTCTGGCACCAGATAGGCATATTAAAAAATATACTTTGTGTTATCTATCCTTGATTTTATTTTAAAGTTTTTTTTTAAAAAAAAAACATACAAAAATATCAAATTATATAATTATATGAATATATCAACGTTATATAATAAGTTAATGTTATATAAGTTTTAAAAGTTTTGAAATAGTTTTTGTAAAGTAAATTAATTGAAAAGTGATTTTATTTATTAAGAGTTGCATACTGTTATGATTATTGTTTGGTCCTGCAAGACATCCCATAGTGCTAAAATTACAACAATTTATTAGGAGTTAGCAGGCATTTGTGTGATCAGTCAACATTTTTTATCTGTTGTGAGTTATAAGATATGAGAATAAATTTAAAATCTTATTTTAAAAAAAATGTTCAATTAATGTGTTATAGTATTATTCTTTTTCTTTAAAAACTTTATAAAAATTTATATATTTTATTTTAATTCTGTCTTGGGTAAATAGAAATATTAATTTTATTAATTTCTATTGTTACAATACAAATATTCTTAATTAGAAAAGATTTGAACATTCAAGTGACATAATATAAAACTTGGTGGTCTTTTTGGCCACTCAACTAATAGATATTTTGAATTGATTTTGTTTTAGCTCAGTGTAGTTAAGGCGTTTTTAAAAACTACTCAAATTCTTTTATTTGAAATTAGCATGATTTTGTCAGTGTATTATGTCTAAACAAGAGCTTAAGATGTTATAATTTTGCTTCAGGTTTTTTTAACATTTAAAGAAACTTTTATTTTTTTAAGATAATTTTTAAAACCTTTTTATTACTCCTAATAGTCAATATAAAAAACACCATTTCGGAGTGTTTAGATCAATTTTGCTCATCGGTGTTAACATGAATTTAGTTAAAATCTTTTGAAAAAGTGCCTTAACCCACTATAGATCCTAGTTCTAATCGGTTCTGACGTATATTAACTATATATAGTTGTCAAAATACAATATTTCTATCAATTTTCACAAATAATACTAGAATTCCGATCAAGAATGAGTATATAATTAAGAAAAATTGCCAATAAATAATCAGAACAGATAATATTATTAAGCTATAATGATTTCACCTAAAATGTTTATTTATTTAAAATCTTATTCAAATTTGAATAAGCGATCGTAATTTTAGGATTCTTTTTTTTAAAAAAGAATCTTTGGTCTTGTTTTTTTTTGCTACAAACTTTTATATTTTATGAGAATGCAAAATGAACTAAGCAAAGAACTCAAATTTTATTATATTAATTATTATATCAAATTTTAAATCTAATGTAAAAAAAATGTATGAAGAAAAAAAACCACAACAAGATTTGAACTTCTGTATACACATAATAATGCAACAAAGTATAAAGATAACTAACCACATTGTGACTTTCAAAAATATCAAATTATATAACTATATTAACATATAAATGTTATATAATAAATTAGTGTTTTTAATTAAGTTTAATTATTGTATTATCATCAAAAGTGGGTAAGCGTTTAATTATTGTATTATCATCAAAAGTGGGTAAGCGTTTAATTATTGTATTATCATCAAAAGTGGGTAAGCGTTTAATTATTGTATTATCATCAAAAGTGGGTAAGCGTTTAATTATTGTATTATCATCAAAAGTGGGTAAGCGTTTAATTATTGTATTATCATCAAAAGTGGGTAAGCGTTTAATTATTGTATTATCATCAAAAGTGGGTAAGCGTTTAATTATTGTATTATCATCAAAAGTGGGTAAGCGTTTAATTATTGTATTATCATCAAAAGTGGGTAAGCGTTTAATTATTGTATTATCATCAAAAGTGGGTAAGCGTTTAATTATTGTATTATCATCAAAAGTGGGTAAGCGTTTAATTATTGTATTATCATCAAAAGTGGGTAAGCGTTTAATGTTGTTAAAAATAGTTTACTCTTTAGATTTAAATTATTTTTTTTACCTTCTTGTCTATATTGCCAATTATTTTTTTTACCTTGTCTATATTGCCAATTATTTTTTTTACCTTGTCTATATTGCCAATTATTTTTTTTACCTTGTCTATATTGCCAATTATTTTTTTTACCTTTCTTGTCTATATTACCAATTATTTTTTTTACCTTGTCTATATTGCCAATTATTTTTTTTACCTTCTTGTCTATATTACCAATTATTTTTTTTACCTTGTCTATATTGCCAATTATTTTTTTTACCTTGTCTATATTGCCAATTATTTTTTTTACCTTGTCTATATTGGCAATTATTTTTTTTACCTTGTCTATATTGCCAATTATTTTTTTTACCTTGTCTATATTGCCAATTATTTTTTTTACCTTCTTGTCTATATTGCAAATTATTTTTTTTACCTTGTCTATATTGCCAATTATTTTTTTTACCTTTCTTGTCTATATTACCAATTATTTTTTTTACCTTGTCTATATTGGCAATTATTTTTTTTACCTTGTCTATATTGGCAATTATTTTTTTTACCTTGTCTATATTGCCAATTTTTTTTTTTACCTTCTTGTCTATATTGCCAATTATTATATTCATTTATTCAAAGGGTTTAAAGGGTTTTAGGGTCTTTGACATTACATTGATATTGTTTGGGATCCCTGTGAAAAAAAAGATCCCTTTTTGAAAAAATTTCTAAACCTAATGGTCTGACATAAAACCTAACAGATATTAACTTAATCGTTGGGGCTCCTAAATCTATTGTAATCATAATCATATTTTCACCTATTATTATTTGTAAAAAATAAAAATGTAGCATAATTGTAATAATAAATGAAAATATGAGAAAATTTGAAATATATTTTTAACTTTTAAAACCCATAACAGTAACAAAAAAGTTTCACCCTAGTTCTCATAATGGTTTTCTGACATAGTAGTGACATAGTAGTGACATAGTAGTGACATAGTAGTGACATAGTAGTGATAGTAGTAACATAGTAATTACTGAACTTTGAAGTCCAACAATATATGCAGTCAGCTTTTTCATAATCAATAAGCACATGATATAAAACAAATTAATAGTTGTATAAATTGCAAACTAATACTTGTTTAAATTGATAAGTTAATTTATGTGCCAATTTATGTGCTCAACAAAGTAAAAGGTAATAAAATTGTAACCCTATTTGCTATTGGTACATTTATATCTATAATATAATGTATTGTTTTATTTTTTAAGGTTTTGCCTCTGGCGGACCTCGCCATCAAAGTTTTGGAAAAGTATTTATATTTTTATTTTGTTTCATATAATTATTTAACAATTTTTTTTTTTAATTACTATTAAGATTGTTATTAGTGACTTTAATGCTCATCACATTGGATAGCCTAGATCTTGTATCACTGACCCGGCTGGCTCTAAAACTCAAATTTTTTGTCTTCTTAATTCTCTTACCTAGGATAATTAACTTTGTGACTGATTTAGAAAACATCCCAAATTACTTACCTCTGTTTTTTGGTTTGTGTTTTGTTACTAACTTTACCTTTTAATTAGTTTCTCTATATTCTACTTTTGATGGTGCAGACCATCCTATGTTCTCAAAAGTCTTTTTTTACTTTAGACTGATTCTTATTATTGTGATTACTATTGTGTTTGGTATGTGTAAACTAATCTGATTGTATAGTTTTTAGGTTACATATTATTTATATGCAGAATAAAGCCTTCTATACTGGTTTTAGTATTATCTAATATTAGTTCACTGCAAGATTCATCCTGTCATCTCAAATCTTTACAACTACTAATGTCTGATTTTATGCTTTAGTCTCAAATATCATATTTTGTTTCAGAAGTAAGTTTCTTGAGACATTTGGAATATGTTTAATAGTGTCATTAAAAAATGAAAATGGCACCTGTAGTTTTAAAACCTGTAGGTTTACTATAATGAGCAAAGCTTTAAATAAACAAGCTTCTAATATCTCATCTTGAGTCTAATTATTCACTTTTTAAAAATCAATTCAGATTTTGATTTTTTTTTGTTATTGTTGTTGCTGTTGTTGTTGTTGCTGTTGTTGTTGTTGTTGCTGTTGTTGTTGTTGTTGTTGTTGCTGTTGTTGTTGTTGTTGTTGTTGCTGTTGTTGTTGTTGTTGCTGTTGTTATTGTTGTTGTTGTTGTTGTTGCTGTTGTTGTTGTTGTTGTTATTGTTGTTGCTGTTGTTGTTGTTGTTGTTGTTGTTATTATTGTTGTTGTTGCTGTTGTTGTTGTTATTATTGTTGTTGTTGCTGTTGTTATTGTTGTTATTATTGTTGTTGTTGCTGTTGTTATTGTTGTTATTATTGTTGTTGTTGCTGTTGTTATTGTTGTTATTATTGTTGTTGTTGCTGTTGTTATTAAGGTGCTCCCAGGAAATCTTATTGTCTTATCACAGGGCACCATGAAATACATTTAACTAGGAAATTCATGCCGCCTTTCTTATCAATGTTGTTTATTGGGCTAGAGCTGGCATTGAACCTCCGACTTCTTGATTCTGAACCAGAAGTCTAACCACTGGTGTTCAACATTCAACAAAAAAAGTTGTTCAACTTTTTGTTAGCCATAATAACAGAAAGGTTTTTTTTGTGCATTAGATGAATCAGTGAGGCAAAGGCTGTTGTTTATCATTTGTCATATCAAAGACTATGGTGCTAATCAACAATGTTGTTGCACATACAAGAAAAATTGAATTTGAGTTAATAATTTACAATAATATTGTTGTAAATACATTTTTAGGTACTACTATATAATGATGTTAAATCTAATATGCCAACTCAAGAACTTCCTGAAATATTTGACGAGGTAAAGTTGATTTTTTTAATTATTAGTGTTTTGTGTTTATAATGTTCCATAACATGATTATATTGTATTTACCTTCTTTTTTTTTAGTTTCAAATCGCATCTGGTTTTGGAATAGCATTATGTGCAATTGATTCAGACAACAATATGTAAGTAACATTCTTTGTAGTCTCAAACAAATATTTAAAATAGCATTAGTATTATGAGATTAATATACGTAAATAGTATTAAAATTTGTTATAAAATCTTTTTCAAGGTTTTCTGAGCTTATTGTTGGTGCACCATTTTATGCTGAGTCCACATCAATATACAATCATGGAAAGGTTTATGTTTATGAAAAGTCTTTTAAGATGGTAAGATTTTTAATATGGTAAAATTTTTAATATGAAAAGGTTTGAGAGAGGGTTTTAAATTCATAAAATTTATCACAAGTAATTTTTAAAATATATAATTTTTAGAATAAACTTGTGTTAATTAAAGAATTATATGGTAACAGAGATGGGGTGAGTGATGTTAATGCCCATTTTGGTTATGCTCTTGCCAATGCTGGAGATCTAAACAAAGATGGGTTTCCTGGTTAGTTAACATGTAATATTTAATTAAAATAACTTTTTTAAACTTTTAATAAAAGTTTCGAATCTAAAATATTTTAAAAAAATGTGTTTGTAATAGTTGTTAAAAAAACGTTTTAAGTTATTATAAAGATTAAATTTCATCTTAAAATTTCAAAATTTGAACATTTAGATTTAGTTGTTGGTGCACCATATGAAAATAATGGTCAAGGAGCAGTGTATGTGTTTCAAGGTGCCAAAAGTGGTTTAATTACTAAATACTCACAGGTTGTTACTGTTATTATAAAATTGTTTGTGTTGTACTAATAGTAGGTTTTTTATAAAAAATAAACTTAAGTTTTTTTTTTTAATTTCTTTTACACAATTAACTTTTTTACTATTTGTATATCAGTATATCGTGGCATCCTCAGTCATGTCAGGTTTAACCAAGAGATCTCTTAATGTACCATTAAAAGCTTTTGGACGCTCTTTAGCCACAGGATTTGATATGGATAACAATGGTTACAATGGTAACCATAACTTTTTAAATTCACAATAATTTTTTTGCATTATATTCATTTATAAGTTTTCATAAAGTTTTTTTAATTAATTTTTATTTGATAAAGTTATTTATTTGTTAGTAACTAACTAGCATAGTAACAGTTATAGTCTTTGTGTACTTACCTTAAAATGTGTTACAGTGCTGCATCAGTTTTTTTCCAGGAATAAGAAAACATCTTTGCTTGTTAATGAATTAAAAAATGCTCGTTAATAAATTATTTAATTTGTTTTTATTTTTTATTTTTTGTGTGTTATATATTAGTTTTGTGCTGTATTTTATGCTATTAAATGATAAAGTACTTTACTTTATTAGTACCTTTATAGAGAATCTGGTAAAAAAAAACACTATTATTTTGTAAACTTTTCATCATTGCATATTTTTAAATACTTTTAAACATTTTTATAATTCATCAGTGAGTTTTTTTTTTTTAATTTGTATTACTTATTTTATCTACTTGATGTTTTTAAATTTAAGTGACAAAATTGTTATAATTATGGCTAAAGCTATGAAAAAATGTAGCGTTTAGTTTATTTTAAAATTTACTGCTAGAAATTTTGTATTTGTCAACTTCCTTAGTTTTGACAGGTGCCTTACTATAAAATTTTTTCTAAATTTTCTAATATTCTATAATAAATAAAAAATTTGTTTCCAATATTTCATATTAATTAGAAAATATCAAATATAATGTTTTTTTAACACATTAAATTTTTTAACACTAAATTAAAATACTTTGGCAATTCGAGTTACCAATTTTTTTTCAAATTTTCACAATAACATGTTAATTATTGCATTAATAATGTGTTTTATGTTGAATATAAACTTGCATAAAAAGGCTACAAAAAAAAAAAAAAAATCTACAAAACTTTTTGTTTTTATGGTTACAAAATTTAAAATTATATTAATGGCTCTTGTTGCTGAGTCAACACATGCCAGTAAAGCCTTTAGGTTATACTTTTCAAGTTTACGATTGTTCTGAGTCAATGCATGTAAAACCTTTAGATTATACTTTTAAAGTTTATGACCTTGTAAAGTGACAGCTATGACTTTTGTTAGTACATTAGTTTTTTATATTTAAAAATATATTTTTGTGTTATATTTTTGTAGCAAAATTTTTTTTACAATTAAAACGCTCTTTTCAAATGGCGCAATTTTGCAAATTTACACCATTTGTTAATATCAACACTCAAAACAAGATAGTTTTGACTCTTTAGTTTTAACAAAGTTTAAAATTTTCATAGCTTTATAATTTTCATACCATTGTCAACAATCATTTTTTTTTCTTTTTCATTTTATTAGGTATTTCAAGTTGGTATGCAATTATTGACATTTTGACAGAAGTTTAGTTTTTAAATAGCACATGCAAAGTATATAACGAAATTATTTTTTATCCATGATTCACAAAATTTAGCAAGTTAATTTAAATTAACTCAATTATTCATATTTTTGAACAAAAGCACTTTAATAATTACTAGTTTTTATTGAAATTTATTAATAAAGACATAAATTTAATGGAAGGAAAATAAAAAGAGAGAGAAAAAAAAAAGATTAATAGACTAGACAAAATTAAAACAAAGCTAACATTGTTTAAATAAAATAGAAAAAGTTCAGAATATATAAGATTTTATAGAATGTATAATATTGATTCAAAAGTCATACAATCACCTAACACTATATGTTATTAATTTACTTTACAAAAAGATTCCTTATTACTCTCCCTCCTCCCCCATATCTCTCAATTCTCCCATCTTACCTGACTTGCACCTTATGCATATATTTTTATTCTGTTGACACCTATAATGCAATATATACTTGTTTAAAAAAACTAGCCAAATATTACTTTTAGTAACATCGAAATTGTTATTTCATTCACAAGAATGGCTTTAAGGGTGTATTAATGAATCTAGAATGGCTTTAAGGGTATATAGGGATAGCAGTTAAACTTTGAAATACAAATATTATACAATTTTGCATGTTTTTTCTTCAACAAAATCTTAAAAAGTATGTATGTTGATGGTGTTAATATAATTCATCAAATTTGGAAGAAAAAGTACCTACTTGCCTCTTATTATGATTGGGTAATATTGGTTTGGGTATTTTAAAACAAATATATGTAAAATACATGTTTAAGTTGTTAAGACTTTAGCTTAAAGCAAGTTGTGCAAACAAATTATAAAACTGAAAATGCTTTTTTTATTTTTACAAAATTTTTCAAATTTAGAAATTAAATTTGAATTAAGCATATTCACTAAAAGTTTATGTGCATCTATTGTTGATCTAAAAATTGTATGTAGTTATTTGTAATTAGTATTTAGATGTTTTACAATTTTGTATTTCCAGATGTTCTTGTTGGTGCATATGCATCAAACCAAGTTGTTCTTCTCAGGTTGGTTTTTAAATATTTGTCTGCCTTTTTTTTTTTTCTTAATTTAATTTGGGAGGTTTCACTAAAATTACATTACTAGATTTATTACAAAATTATATTACTAAAATTATTACATTTATAATTATACATAATTTTAATCCTTGTAATATTTAGAAGTCGTCCAGTTATAGAAGTTCACATTAAAGTGACCTTTACACCTGAGAATATTAACATCAGTGATCGTCATTGTTCAGTCGATGGAAAGTTAACACCCTGGTAAAGTTTAAATTTAAACCTTTTTTTTTTTTGCAGATAAAAGTTTTTGCAAATATATGATTAAAATAGATAGTGTTATTAATGTTGATAACTAAAGAAACTAAAACAGTATTGCGTATGTAATATAGTGTGCTAATAATTACCTAAACTATAACAAAATTAACCTAGTGACTTTACATGAAGTAGCAAAAATAGTAGTTTAATAAATATATAATGCATAATAAATAAATGTGTATATATTACAAATAAATAGTATATGTAGAGCATTTTTCTAAAAGGGAGTCCATTCTTTCTAAAATTGAGATTTTTCAGCATTTGAATTTTTTATTGAAAACTGTACAAAGCTTAATATTAACACTTTACTGGCCAAAATATAACAATTTATGATAAAAGATATCATTTTGTGTTATTTAACCAATTTAAATCAAAAAAATACATTATTGAAAAAAAAAATTCAAAATTTCGTTTTTTTGGTCAAATTTGGGTTTAATGCCATATGGCATCATTGGTCAGTTAAGATAATATGGAAAAAAAAAGTTATTAAACACTTTCATTGAAATATACACAGATATACATATATATAGATATACACAGATATACATATATACAGATATACACAGATATACATATATACAGATATACACAGATATACATATATACAGATATACACAGATATACATATATACAGATATACACAGATATACATAGGTGCTATGCCAAAACAGTTAGATACTAAATGAACAATACTGTTGTCTAACCATTTCACAACAGTTAGTGAATTTTTATCAATACAATAATCAAGTGAACCTCTATCTTGCTTCTTGAGTTCTTTTGATGGTATTATTGGGCACCCATGAAAATATTTTTTCTAAAGGTAATTTATTTTGCTTTAAGTTTTTTCACATTAAAAGATATTTTATTTTCCTAATTTTTTTTTTTTTTTTTGTAATTGTCTTTCATTGGTCCAATTAACCTTTTGCGCATTTTTTTTTTTGCTTTTTGAAATGTTCTCAAAATGACTAAAAAGTCTGGCCAGCTTTTTGCAGCTAAATATTATTTCTGTGGTCAGCAATCGAGAGCGATCGCTCCCACTTCATGACCAAGCCTGAATTAGAGAATATCGAAGAGAAATGGACCAATAGTTACTGTAGGCAGGTAATTTCACTAAGCCTATCAATATTTGCATCCCAATTAACAAAGAAATTTTATCAAGAGTGGTATTGATGGGGGGGGGGGGGGACTTCCCTGATTTTTGTGTGCTGTACAAGTTTGAGTTTTATTGAAGAAGTGAATTTTATCTGGTATGTTCTTAAATCGATGTTCATTTAAACTCCTAAGATTATCTAAATTCAAGATTTCTTTTGTCCCTTGATACTCGTGTTTTTCTTTTTTTAGAGAAGCTAGCGGTATATCATTGTCATCTTCATTATTGTCATCATCAACATCATCATCAGCAGCAGTATAATTGTCAGTGTTGTCAGTCTCATTGACTAAAAACTCATCATCATCTGATAAATTAGATAACTCAGACACATCTCCATTAGTTACAAAATCTATTACATCAGAAACTCAAAATTTCTTTTGCTGTGCACAAAATACCGATCGCATCTTAACTAAAATACCCTATATATAAATCTTTATAAATTGTATTTTGAATATCATTTATTAAATTATTGTACAAGTAAACTCTACCATTTTGGATAGTTTTAGCATGCGTACACCTTGATTTTGAATAACAAACAAAAGCATTCTCCTTCTTATAGGCTTTAGTAAGCTATAAAGGAACTCTTACAGTCAATTATGCCTTATGGCATCACTGGCCCATAAATGGTTAATAAAAAAAATTGTTCGTCACTTTTATTTACGATTGCAAAATTATTAAATTTCAAGAAATATTTTGCATAATGGTTAGTTTTATTTTTTTCAAAAACATAAAAAAATGTGACTTAATATTTTTAAAAAAAATGCTCTTCATATAGTAAAATCAAATTTCAACTTTTCAAATTATATGATATTTTGTTAAGTAAGGTATGATGCTAAGTAAATTAAGGAATTAGACTAAAAGTAAAATAATGTCTTTAGTAAAAGTAAGTATAAAAGTATAAGGTAAAAATTTCGAGTATAAAAGTACCAGGGTTGAATAGATTTGATCAAATACAAATTCAAATAGGTTAATTATAGATTGCCAATTACAAATTCAAATGCAAACATTTGTGTTTTAGGTTAAAAAAAATTCAAATGTTTTTAACTTTTTTTTTTTACTACAATTAATCACTAAAAATCAACTTGAATTAACTTTATTTCTTACTTAAATCTTTAATTATCTAACTTTTTCATTAATTCTATTAAATAATACATTTATTCTAAATTTCCTTCAGGAAAAGTTTAAAGAAGATTGTTCGTATCTCAAAAACATTTCTACTTAAACATAAAAAACTTTCTTATATTGTTACTGTATTTTACAAGAAAATGTTTCTTCGATTACTTTATTTATTTTTAGTTGTATTTTTTTAATTGTATTTTAATTGTATTTGTTTTTATATTTTTATATACTTTAATATATTTTATATATATTTAATAAAAATATTTTAATAACTTAATATAACTTAATATAAAGTAGTTAAAGAAGAATTACTGAAACTATTTTAATGTATTTTAATGTACAATTTAAAAATTTAATACAATTATAAAGGATATTACTGATAAAATGGTATACTAAATAGAAGAATGAAAACAAAGTTTTTTAATACATATCACTTAAAAACAAATTTTTAAATTATTTTAGTGTTAAAAATAAAGAAGGTTGTTTGCTACAACGACAAAAAAATATTTCTTAGTTTTTCTCATTAAAAAACTAGTTGCAAATTATGTCGACAATGCACAGTGGGCCAGGTGGTAGACAAAACCTCAAAAAAAAATTTCGAAATACTTCCAACTACTTAGTACATTATATTTATAAGAGCATAATGTATGGTTTAAAACATTATTTGTAGTTTGATTATACATCATAAATGTACAATTATTATTTACAATTGAATATAATGATTAATTAATTTTTTTTTTTTTTAATATACCATAATAACATAACTATAACAACAAATAACTTTTAAATTATTTAACTTAATTGACATATTATTAAAATTTAATTTGATAGCTTTTCAAAAAATATTGTATTAAAGTCACAGTTTTATTTTGAAATATAAAGGTAAGATTCTTGTTTATAGTATAAAAGTATTATGTTAAAAGTGGCTCATATAGTTTAGAACCTGCTGGAACAGCATATTAATGTTAGAATAAGTTAATACAATATATGTACAGCCTGTTGGTGCTGTTTTATTCTGCTCATAGCTGCCCCTTTAGGTTTGGTAAACATTTAAAAAATATATATTGTTGTAAAATGCTATTCGCGACAAACCTATTTTTTGGTTTGTTGTCGTTATTAGGTGTTGTGCTTGTTGTACTGGCCTAATTAAATATATCTGAAATAAAAATAATGGCCATATTCATGTTATATTAGTTTATAGTGGTTGCACTAATAATTTTAAATTGATTTTTTTGTAGTTGATATGAAGATAAGTGATGTCCATAATCGTATACGGCATGACCAACTAAATCCGAGTGATAAATCATTTTCTTTGTCTGTAGAAGCTATTTTAGTCTCTATGAATTTGGGTTCTACTGGGTGTGCTGCATTTTTAAAAGTTTATCAAAAGAAATGGAAGGATGCAAACCGAGGAAACATAAAGTTTGAGAGTAAAAATAAAAATTGGTTGACTTTAAATCTTTACATACAGTAATAATATATCTAAGCCTGATAATTCTAGTCAATTACATAAGATTGGTGGAAGACCAAGTTGTTCCTTTAAAGATGCTTCTGACAAAACCAAAAGGAGAAGACTTAATGATATTATAAATAATTTTTCTAGTGATGAGTTACTCCGCTCAGCAAGGCTTAAATTAAGAAATGAGTATAATTATGAGGCTGCCAAGCAAGTTGCTGAGATATCAGAACCTTCTAGTCAATTTAAAAAGTATACACCTGATGAAGGTCTGGCATTAATTATAGATGGTGGCATGTCAAAATCAACCCACCAACTTATGAGAAATGGAGCTGAAGAACGTGACTGCCATATATATCTTTCATACAACAACATAAGATTGTCCAAAGCTAAGTGCTATCCAGAGAACATCTTTGTTGATGATTATTCAGCACATGTACCACTACAAGAATTAAAACATACAGTAAAAAGACTTTGTGAGGTGCAAGCTCCTGTGATCAGCACAATGCTAGATGGTTTGACCCGGTTGACTTTGCGTTGCAAGGCTGGGTTTGATGGGGCTACTGGGCAAAGCATGTACAAGCAAATTAGTAGTGAGGAAGCTGGAGATCGTAACTTAAAAAAAGAAGAATCTCTGTTCATTACCTGCTTAGCACCACTAGAACTCAGTGGGTTCTGTAATAATAAAAAAGTACTATTATGGCGAAATGAAAAGCCATCATCTACTGCATATTGTCCTCCAATAAGATTTTCTTTTCAAAATGAAAGCAAAGCAGTTGTTATAGAAGAAGCAAAATATTTAGAATCTGAAATCAAAAAATGTGGTGTTTTTAATTTTACTTTTAATGGAAAGGATCTGGTTGTCAAAAGTATTATTGAACTGACCATGATTGATGGCAAAATTCAAACTATTCTGTCTCATGTGACTAACTCAACTCAATGTTGCTCTGTGTGTGGTGTGTCTCCAAAAAACATGAATAATTTAGAAATGGTGCTGAAATTGGACAATTCTAATAATTTAGAATTGAAATATGGTCTTTCTAGCCTGCATGCCTGGATTAGGTTTTTTGAGATGGTATTGCATATTGGATATAAACTAGAAACTCAAAAGTGGCAGTCTAGAGCTATAGAAGATAAGGAAAATGTTATGCAAGTGAAGAAACGTATACAGACAGAATTTATGAACCAAATGGGACTAGTTGTGGATTTCCCAAAAAGTGG